ATCACATCCAAAAAGGATGAAAATATCAAATGTTGGGTTTTTTGTTCCTCCATAATTCATAAAGAGTCTTATCCATAATAGGTCTTATGGAGACTCTATTATAAATGTAACACGATGTATTGACGACCTCTGCCCAGAATTACTTTGCCATGTTAGTCTCGTTGATCATGGTTCTGGCCATTTGTTGCAAAGTCCTATTCTTTATCTCTACAACTCCATTTTGTTGTGGAGTTCTAGGGCAGGAAAAATCACGGGAAATGCCATTTTCATCAAAAATATTTTCAAATTTTTTATTTTCAAACTCGCCACCATGATCACTTCTGACTTTAACAATTTTGAGTTCCATCTCATTTTGCAGTTGATAACAGAAGATGGTAATCACAGAATGTGAATCATCCATGTTTTTGAGAAACTTAACCCATGTCCATCTGCTATAGTCATCAATAATGACTAATCCATACTTCTTACCATTGACAGAAGCAGTTTTCAATGGTCCAAACAAGTCAATATACAAAAGCTCCTATGGCCTAGAAGTAGAAATAACATTCTTTGCTTTAAAATAAGTTTTTGAAAACTTACCTTTCTGACATGCTTCATAAAGAGCTTCTTAAGAGAACTTTATATTTGGAATTCCTTTGAAAAGATCAAGCTTATTTAGATGAGAAATCCTTCTCATGCTAACATGGCCCAAATGTCTATGCCATATCCATTTCTATTCATTAACAAACAAAAGGCATTTTACATTTTGCTCTTTAAGATCAGAAAGTCTAATCTTATATATGATGTTCTTCCTCTTTCCATAAAAAAGATTAAGTCATCCTTCTGAATAATAGCCTTACAAAAGTTTTGATTAAAGATTATATCATAACCATTGTCACTTAATTGACTTATGGATAATATGTTATGCATTAATCCATCAATAAGAAAAACATTGGTAATAGAAGGGAGAGAACTATTACCTATTGTTCTGAAGCCTATGATCTCCCCTTTTTGATCACCTCTGAAACCCGCGACCCCTCCCGGCTTAAGTTTCAGGCTTGGGAACATGTCTTCTTCCCGTCATGTGTCACGAGCAATCAGAGTCTAGGTATCATGACTGATGTCCTACCTCCGCTGCTAAGGATATCCTCAACATAGATTATCTGCTTCTTATGTACCCATAACTTCTTGGGTCCTTTTTTGTTAGTCTTCCCAGAGTTGTTTCCAACGTTGGGCTTAGGAGTAGGATAAACATATTTAATTACATTCTTCAAACAAGATTTTGCTTTAGGTTTAGCCTTAGGAACATAAAGACTTCTACCTTTTTCTTTTACTTTAGGCTCAAAACCAACATAAACAAAATAAGAATGAAGAGTATTTGATTTATCTTCTTTTTCAGAATCATATTCTTCATAAGAATCATAACCAATACCATTTGTATTATTTCTTCTTACCCCAAAGATCATTGAAGCCATAACGCTTCTACCTAGGCTTATAGAAAGAAATTTCTAGAATGATTTGTCATATTTCTTTATGACATCATCAGTGCTCACGAAAACTTCTGAAAGAATGTCCTTCTAAAGATTGGAACTCTTTCTTTTGAGAACAAAGTAATCAATCTTAAGAATATAATTTTATTCTCTTAAAGATGAAAATTCTTCCTTAAGTTTGTCATGTATTTTAGAAGCAGATTCATGGACCTTTTTAAGTTCCTTGAATTCGTTCTTAAGAAACTCATGTTTTTCCAGAATTTCAAGTAAAGAACATGTTAATCCAAAATGAGAAAGGTCAGAAAATACCTCTTCTATATGTGAATCAGAATCATCATCACCTTCTGGGTATATCACCTCATCAGAAGCCTTAACACTAGCCATCAATGTTATGTTAACTTGTTCTATTTCAGAATCATCTTCTGAATAATCAAAATTATCCCATTTTGCCATCAGCTTTTTGTTCTTTCCTCTAAAAGTTTTCTTCTAGGGATTATACTTTATGAGCTTAAGACATTCGTTCTTATATTGACCTGGCTCTTTGCACTCATAGCAGATGACTTCTTTGCTGCTACCAGACTTTCTTTGTCCATAAGTAGACTCGAAGTGACCACGTGTCCTTCTAGCTCCTCTGAATTTGTTACCTTGATTTCTCTTCTAAAGTTGGCTGACCCTTCTTGACAATAGTTACAACTTATCTTCATCTTCTTCAAAATCTTCTTCAGAATCCTCGACCTCTTCAGCTTGAAGAGCTCTCATCTTCTCAGATCTTCTGAGGCTCGTCTTATTCCAGATCAATCTCATTACTTCTCAAAGAACTCACTAGTTCTTCTAGAGAAGTGTTGTTCAGATCGTTAGCTAATTTAAGTGCAGTTACCATAGGCCTCAATTTAGATGGTAAGCTTCTGATATTCTTCTTCACATGATCAAAATTAGAGTATCCTTTATTCAGAACCCTAAGTCCTGCAACCAAATTTTGAAACCTTGATAACATAGTCTCAACTATTTTATCTTCTTCTATTTTGAAGGCTTCATATTTTTGAATCAAGGCTAAAGCCTTGGTCTCCTTAACTTGAGAATTGTCCCCATGAGTTATTCTCAAAGAATCAAATATAGACTTATCTGAGTCTCTATTTGTTATCTTCTCATACTCAATATAAGAAATTACATTCACCAATATAGTTATTGCTTTACGATGATTATTATAATCTTTCTTTTGTTATTTGTTCATAAATCTCCTCTCGATCTTATTTCCTCTTTCATCTATAGGATGTTTGTAGCCATCGACTACCATATCTCAAAGATCAACATCATGACCTAGAAAGAAACTTTCTAGTCTATCCTTCCAATAATAAAATCTTTCACCATCAAAGAAGTAAGGCTTAGCATCTTAGTTGTGTCTCTCATTGAGAACATGCACAATTGTAGCAGGTGGTGGAATATCCATAGTGTTTCTAAAACTTCTGGATCTTTATCTGACATAATTAAGTGTATGTTAACTATCAATACCATAACCGGGGCTCTAATGCCAATTCAAGGTGCAAGAAACACAAGAAAGGGGGTTTGAATTGGGTTTCTAGAAATAAAATCTTTTTGAAACCAAATACTTGAAGTTAAAACAAGAACAAAAATAAATGAACACTATTATTTTTATCCCGGTTCACTGTTAATGAAGTTAATCCGGTCCACCCACCAAGGTGATTTTCCTTTCTCAATAAAGGACTTAATCCACTATAACCAAACTGACTATAGACACAAACAAAGACTAACTGTAAATTTTACAACCACAAAGACTAACCGTCAATGTCTTTTATAGAATCCTGACTAAAGTCCTAGTCTCTCAAGGAACAATCAACTCACTGTTGAAAACAAGTTTGTGTGTTTACAAGATTGCTTCTTGAAAGAATATTACACAAATAAAAGAAGTACAAATAATAACATAATAGTGTTAATAACAAGTTATTAAACAACAGTTCCTTGCTAGCAAGTTAACAAACAAAAGTTCTTAGCTTTACAAAATTTACAAAAGTTTTACATTGTAATTTCTGCATATTTTTTGCAAAATGAATCATTGAAAATCATTGTTTTCCAATTTTCAAAGTCTCCCTTTTATAGCCAAGAAGAAATCTGTTGGAGGGTAGAATAGGAATACCAAGATTTCCAACTATCTTCTTGTAATGGTCAGTGTGAGTGGCAGACAACATAGTACTAATAGTACAGTCCTTGCGCCATAAAAATAGGGTAGTGGAAGGATGTGACGTTATACTATTTCTTCAAGTGAGACCTTTGATCTTCTCTTCTAATCTCTAGAGGCTTCATAATGTTTAAGAGTCGAAGCACGCTTAGAAGGATAAAAAATATGTCTTTAGAACCATGTCTTTAGAGTCCTTAGAACTTGTTCAACAAAACCTTGTCTTCAGAGTCTTCAACACTTGGTCTTCAGAGCCTTGTCTTTAGAATCTTCAAAACTGGTTTAATAGATTCAGAACCGTTGGTATTTAGAGTCCTCAGAACTTGTTCAACAAAATCTTCAGAACCTTGGAGCAAGAGATCTTTGGAATCTCCAGAGCTTGAGAACCCTTCAGAAGCTCTACTATCAGAGTTACAATTAGAAGCCATAAAACTAAAGTTCATCAGAACCGTTGTTTTAAGAAGCATTATAAGCAATGGAACACACACTTGTATCTCTTAGTGTGTTGAGTCTAGAAAATGATAACGTCACACATCAAATATTCAGAGCCAAAACCTGTTAGCAAAAGCTACACACTAAATAAACCATTAGGGTACTAAATTTTTATCTAATCACCCATGTAATGTTATCATCAAAACTCAAGGCCAGATGCAGAACCAAATCTTGTTCTTACAGAGTCAACCTATAGATAAGAGAAGTTTATTGATGGCAAAGATGTCACATTATTTGAGTGCAACAAGCCATGCCACTACAAGAATGAATGTTCCAGGCTAATGAAAGAAAATTCTAAGAAAAAAAATCTTCAAATATAAGAAGAAGGTTCTGATGGCTACATAGGATGGCTTTAAGTCTTAAGGAGATAACTCTGAAGAAGAGCAAGCCAATATTGCACTAATGGAAAACACATAAGCATCTGATTCTAAATTTGAACCAGAATCAAAATCAGACTCTGTTGAGGTATTCTCTAACTTAACTCGTTCTAAAATAGAATCATGTCTGATTGAAATTCTTAAAAAGTATTAGAAGATTCACAAGTGGCTTATTCTGAAATCTTGAAGGAGATTCAAAAGCCACCTAAGAAGAAGTTTATGGCACTAATTTAGGGGGAAGTACATGAGGTAGTCTCATCAACTATTTTCATGCCTACTAAGACTAGGAGTGGAGCCTCTGAAAAAACTCCTCTAAAGACAACTTCTTCATCTTTCACATCAGCTCCTATGAAGAAACTCAGGAAGATGATTCTACTAGTTGAAGAGGAAAAAGAAGAGAAAAATAATCAACCCCTGGTAAGGAAGAACACATAGGTGAAGAAATTGGCTAAAAAACTGTTAACAGAAGCTATGCAAGAAGGAGCCAAGATTCTAGCATCTACTTTGAGGGATAAGGCAATGGAAGAGTCATCAGGTGATGCAATTCTAGAAAACCAAGACAAGGATTTAGAAGCTACTACTAATACTATCTTGAAGAATGCTGGAGACACTTCTAAAGTTGGGGTTCTATAGTTGAGTATGGGTGATACAGAGACCCGGGCTCCAGAAGTTGTTGTGCGAGTAGAGAAAGCTGTAGAAGCTGTAAACTCAGGTTTTATTCTAGTTCATATCACTGATTATGTTCTAGATTCTTCCTACCCTCTATTTGTAACCCATATACCAAACTCTTATCAATCACCTATACATTCTTCTAAACACACACCCTCACCAAAATTTAACATGTTTCAGCCTTTAGAGATTGTCATGTATTCCCCTAAATCAACCTCAACCTCAAGCTCTAATTCTGATGAATCAGATTTTATACCTATAAAAGTCACACCACTGCAAGCCATACCTTTATAAACCATAACATATGAAACTCGCCAACCACAAGATCAAACCATCCTTGTTCAAACTAAACCTGTACCTGCTCCTAAACAAGCCATACAAGACCAAACCAACCTTTTTCATCATGAACCTGAACCTAAACCTGAATAAGCTATGAAAGACCAAACCATACCAGAAGCCCAACCTGAACCATTATCTCATGATCCACAAATATCTCAACCTATACATTTCGATCACCATTATACCCCTTTGAGAGAACTAGATGATGTGTCAGGATCTGGCACAATAGTTATATCCTTCTCTGAAAAGATCCCCACCTGTCCCTTCACCATCTCACACCACTCAAAAGCTAAACCCTCCACCTTATATCCAAGCCCAAATTGAAGAATTTAGGAATGGTATCTATAATAGGATTCAAGATCTGATTGTTGAGAGACTCATAACATCTAACTTTATTGCATATGCTGCTAAACGGGAGACTCTCAGAACCTATGTGAATATATCTCTACATAATCTGAAGACTCTCACTTCTGAGTCTATAGCTTATTCGATCTAGAAGCAAGAGCAGTTAGAGGAAAAACTAACTACTGTAGCTGCTAATCAAGAGGTAATAAGAGTTAAACTTGAGATTGTGGTTGCTAATCAAGACTCTATAGTCTACAAACAAGAAGAAATGACATGGGTTCAGACATCAAGGCTATTCTGGAGATTTTGAAGAAAGTACCCTAGACCTTGGGACTTAGTACCCTTATGATGTTTTTGAATTTTATTTTTGTTGACTTATTTTGAAATGTTTTGCCATCCGTCAATTATTTCCTTTGGTTTAATGGTATTTATCTTTAGTATATTTTCTTACTTCCTTTAGTTTTTTTTATTGATGACAAAAGGGGGAGTAAGATATATACATATTTAAGCGCCCGAATCTGATAGTTAAGAACCAATTCTAATTCTTGCTTAAATTCTGAAGAATAATTTATTGTGCTTTAAAGATCAAATTTAATTAACCTGGATATAACTTAGGGAGAGCTTACAGACCTCACTTTTTGTACTATTATACTCAGGGGGAGCTTACAAACCTCAGACCATGAAGTCAACTTGTTAATTAAATTAACAACTATTATTCTTAAATACTTGTGTTTGTCATCATCAAAAAGGGGGAGATTGTTGGAACAAATTGGTTAGTACCATTTCTCTAAAGTTTTTGATGATAACAACGTATTTAAAGAATAATTTGATATACTAGTCTATGTTTAAGTATGCAGGACCATAGACTAAAATTTCTGATATAAACTTATGGCTGGTACTGAAAATGAACATTTAAAGAGAAGCTAAAAGATCCTGAATATGAAGGATCAGAACCTGAGAACCAGACTCTGAAGGAGGTCAACTTCTAAATACCATACTATGGATAAAGTCAACCTCCAAAAATACATAGTTTGAAGGATCAGAACCTGAGATCTAAACTATGAAGACTCATACTTTAAAGGAGTTCAACTTCCTTTGAATCTCAAACTCTGAGAAGGTCAATGCAAAGATCAACAAGACTCTGATAAGTCACTACCAAACCCACATATCATTGTGTCTTCTCCTAATCACATGCAGATGCAAACAAAAATCTACACAGTCAGCTGGGATGTAACAGATAATTCCTCTTGAAGCAAATGGAATTCAAATATCCTTTTAATGGCATTAACCATATCAAGAAACATTCCAACGTCTATGATCAAGCTTCTCTAAGACTCACTTGTGCAAGCTCTTTTCTTCAATAACTCTTTTTTGTCTCTCTATATAAGGAGCTAAAGACTTGAAGAAAAACAATCAATCCTCGACAATAAAAATATTTATTACTCTGTCAAATCAAAATCACAAGTTTAAATTATAGTTTCTTATCATTTTTATATCTTATAAATTCATAAGTCTTAAGAGTCTTTTTTGAGTTGTATTTTGTTTACACCTTTAATTGTATATCAAGTATAATATCCAAACAATCTTTTTATCTTTTAATTGGACTCTCTTGATTATGTGCTTGAGCATTAGAAGTATCTTACTTATGTGTTTAAGTATTAGAAGTATCTTGCTTATATGCTTGATCATTTGAAGTCTCTTGCTTGTTTGTTTGAGCATTAGAAATATCTTACTTGTGTGTTTGAGCATTAAAAGTTTTTTGCTTGTGTGCTTGAGAATTTGTAATCAATTGTGATTATAGTGAAATCCCTTGGAAGTGCAAGGGAACTATACTACTCTCATTTTATGGGAGAAATCATTTAAAGTTATTTGTGTCTCTATTCTTTTCACTCTCTATCTCTGAACCTATTTTTATCCATTGCAAACACTTGCCTCGATATCAGATTATAAAATTTGAGTTCATAAGATATTTTTTACAAAAGAAAGTAAAATCTAATACAATTCGACTGCTCTTCTTGTGTTTTTCTCACCTTTAATATTAATAACTTTAATTAAGTTTTTATTAGAAATTAATTAATTAAAATTTTGAAAACAAATATAATAGGCCTTAAGCCCATTTCTTTTTAGCATTGGTCCAGTACACAAGATGACAACAACCTATTTGTGACTTAACTTTATAAACACTCATTTTATTTGAAAACAAAACAATGTGGAACTTTATTTTCAACTCAGAAAATATAAACATCCTATTCTCTTTCACAGTTTTACTGCACCATTTTCTCCCACCTCATGATTATTATTATCTTCATTATTTCCTCTGCAGCCAACACCTATTCCATCACCACACACATTAACACCAAGACCTTTTCATGATTAGCATATATAGGGGAAATATAAACATTGATGACAACCATATGACATTGGATTCTTCTTGAAACAAGGTATAAATTATTCATGTTTGCTTGTCTTATAACAAATTATATTTTGTTTCTATACAATATCATGTCACAAAACAAAATATCTTATTTTGTCTTATTCGTAATATGAGTACAACTTTGTCATTAGATGTTTTGCATGATATCAAAACTGGGAAAAGCTAGCACTTACGTACATTGGATGATATCTCTATGTATTGTGGCACTCCTCTACATTAGAGGTCTTAGGAATAATTAAAAAGCATTTTGAAATTGATCCAAGTGATTAAAAACAAGTTTTTGCATAAATTTTCATTGTATGTGTCGACACATATGATTTTCAGGTCGACACATGCAACTCAATTTTGAAGCCTGTAGCCTCTAGAAGGCTCAGATCGACACATGCATTGCATAGGTCGACACATACTGAAGAATTTTTGACATTGCAGAAATTCTTATTTTATGTGTCGGCACATACAAATTTTAGGTCAACACATTTACTGTTGTTTTAAATCCTGTAGCCTCTGACTTGTTTCGGTCGACACATACAACTTAAAATTAACGTACGTGCCGACACATACGATTTTTAGGTCGACACATATTGATTAATTTGATCAATTTTTAAATATTTTTAATTCCAAAAAAGTCCGTTTGCCCTAAATTTCCAAAACTATAAATACATCATTCATGCAGCATTCACAACTTGATGATACCATAAAATTAGCCTGCGTTTACTCTTCATCTTCAACTTCCAATCTATGCATACACACTGACATTCCATTGTAATGATCTTATGTTGGGTTTCTATCTAGACGAGGTTTGACAATGTCCGATTAGGTTCTTGTGTAGCCCAAAATATTGGGTTGATATTTGTAGGGGTCTTCGTCCGAAAAAACCGCGGATTTGTCCTCCAATATCATTGAATGATTTGGGGGTTTTCGTGCAAGACATTCAAGAGGTAATTGTGGCCAAGTGTAGTCTTTTGGAGATAAATAATGCAAGGGATCCTTTGGATATAAAGAATGAAAAGGAATTAGCAAGAGAAAGGCGAATTACAATTGAAGTCTTGTGTTGCAATAGGTGAAATTGACGGTGCACGAATGCTTTGGAGATAAAGTACATAAAGGAGTACAAGACCCAGATAGTCAATTTGCAATTATTGTGTCTTGGTCTTTCTCAAGATCAAAGGAAGATAAGGAGTTGAATCAACAAAAGCATTAGGGTTTGTGGAGTTTCTCTTGAACACTTCTCTTGTATCAACTTTTTGCATAGTAAGAATTATCCTAATTCCATCGGAATTAGGTGCAAAAGTACCCATACGCGAGAACGAAAATGGAGAATTGTGAAGACAAATCCTCGTGTCTTTTTTATGATCGCTTTTACTTGCTTTGATATTCACCAATCAACTTGTCCAATAGCATTGTGTTATTAATTGAATTGTAAGAAAATTTTCAGATTGTTTTTTATTTTAAATCAAATGTTGATATTGCTTATAATCACTTTTGATTATAAGTGTTTTTGTGTATCAACACAAGTTTAGAGAAAATTCTGAAAATTCAATTGCAAACAAAGTGTTTGACAAATTGATTTTGTTTGTTATTTTGAATATTGCCATTGGAAATATAATTTCTTGTAACTTGCTACAAATGATTGATAACATGTTAATTGATTTAAGTTCTATTAATTAATTTTATCATATTCATTCAATTTGCAATTTATTATATAGTTGCATATCCAAGTTTCCAATAACTGTTCATATAGACGACTTACTTTGAAAAGCTTCTGCATAAACTCTTTGTTAAATAACTTTTTCAAAACCAAAATTTTCTGGAGTTTCCAAAGGGGTATCTATTCACCCCCTCTAGATACGTTGTTGTCGTCTAAAAAGTGGCATCAAGATCCTGGTTCATTCCAGCTTCGACACTATTTAGAAAATGGCTTACGAACCTAAAGGGGATTACAAAAGAGCCCTAATTTTCACGGGAGAAAACAATATTTATTTGAAAGCTTGTTTGCAAATTCATGTTAACTCATATGACAAAGGTGTGTGGGAAGCCATTCAAAATGGTCCAACACCGGTGACATATGTGGTTCATAATGTTGCTATACCAAAGCTATAAAACTTATGGAATGAGGATGATACTAAAAAGTGGTAATATGATGGAAAGTAAAGAACATTATCGTATCCGCTCTTGG